TAAAGGTAGCAGGGATATCACCACTGTGGTGTACATAGCCTGTGCAGGGAGCAAAGCTGTCGGAGACCTTTTCCTCTTTCCAGAAAACATGGTCACCCTGGCTAGACTATATCCGCACAATGGATCTAGATCATACTTTACTGGCCCTCTGACCGGAACTTGCTCTCTCAGAGTGCTGTGGTCCCCCTTGATTCCCTTGCAGCCTGTCTCTCCTTTTGTTTGTTTCTCTCACTTTTTTCCTTTCCTTTCTTCACTCCTTCTTAGGTTCTTGTGGTTTTCTCTAAAGCTTGAATCCCATGACATGGATTGCCTACACAGTATGTAGTCTGTAGCTCTTTCCTCTTTTCCCGTATGGGCTCGCTGGGGTCCTGCGGCAGCAGCGGGACACTGGTGACACCTCTTCAGGTCTTGAGATAATTTGACTGTACTCAGATTTTATGCCTATGTCTCTTTTTTTAAATTTTCTACTTGCTACCCTGTGGACCCTTGGTTCTCAACTGGTGGGTCGTGACCCAAAAGTGGGTCGCGACCCCCTGTTCAGTGGGTCGCCATATGCCTTCCACTTTTCTAGGAGTGAGACTCCTCAGCCTCCTCCCAGTGCAGCACCGTCTAGTCCGAGGTGCCTGGACTAGACAGACATCACATTCCGGCACCTCTACAAGGCACGCAAGAGAGCTGTACAAACAATGCACATATGGATGGAGCTCTGTCAATGCACAGCAGCCCACACTGGACCCCAGGCTAAGGCTCCACTCCAGTTCCCATAAGGTAGGGAGGCTGGGTGGATCTTGTAAAAATAATAAATGTTTTTGGAGTGTGTATATGTGTGTTTTAGAATGTCTGTGGTTGTTTGTGTCTGTCAGTGTTTTATACAGTTATACAGTATAATTTGCCACTATCTGTCCTCCTTTGACGATTCTTCATCATTTTGTCACCAAAACCGGACTGCGCCTGTTTCCTTGGGGCTGATGACTGAGACAACCAGCGTAGATGAAGGGTTTTGTGTCTGGACTCATGGGCTTTGAGAACCCATAAGAGATTTTAAGCACTTCTGATCAGAGATGTTAGTGACCTATCCAACAAAAAAAAACATGCAGAGCCCAAGGACATTGTTCTGACTCATTTTGGAAGAGAAAGTCAAGAAAATTGTCTGCATGCCTCGTCTGATGCTGGAGAAACCCTCTACCTGCTAATAGATTTGTTCTGAGAGGTTCTGGTGTGCAGTAGGTACTGTCCTTGATTTCTTGGCAGAGGCACCAGAAGCCAGTCCAAGGAAGAGTCTCTGGAACAGTAGAGATGTTTTGATGGTGGTTTGGGCCTTTGGAAAGGTTCTGCTTAAGTTGCAGTGTGTAGGCATTGTAAGTGGCCTACCTTTGTGACCTTATGACTCTGCAACCTTACCATGCCATGCCAATAATTGTGCATGCACTTAACAGATGGCTATAGAGTGACTGCTCAAATCGCCTATCCCTTTAGGTCTTCAGGCCGGTCACGTGATGTGCTGTGCAGGGGCATAACTACAAATAATGGGGGTCCATAGCAAACTTTGCCCCCCCCCCCCCCCCCCCCCCCCCCTCCCGCACCAGCTCCGCTCGCCAG